TCACATGTTGTTAATTTAATGGAGAATTAATGAAATTTGTATATATAACACAGGTTAGGTCCAATCCATACACACACAAAGGCCGACCACGCTTGCAAACTAGCCACCAACTATATCTTGCAAGCTTGGATTTAGAGAAAAGATTGCATGAGGTGAGATTTATCATTATTATTATTAATTGTTGTCGTTGTCGTCGTCGTTCCCGATAGTTGGATTTTAAATTAAATGATATGGAAATTACATTATATGGAACTATATTATTGATTGATTGAATTTCAACAAAACTCTCATGATGTGCATATCTGGAGTTAATGTACACTTTTTGAAAATCCGGTTAACTTGTTTGATCTCGACAGGTCTCATTGCCGTTCATCGTTTTGCATGGAGAAGACGATAAAGTTACGGACCCATCTGTGAGCAAGCTCTTGTATGAGTCGGCTTGTACCATCGACAAAACCCTTAAGTTGTACCCTCGAATGTGGCACTCTTTGTCCTATGGCGAGCTGCCGGAAAACCTAGACATCGTGTTTTCTGACATCCTCGAATGGTTAGAACGTAGGGTATTTGCATATGATGCTAAATTGGAGGAGCATAAAAAGCTCGCCAATGATAGAGACGTGTCGAAAAACTAAATCCCCAATTGGGAAAGAGACTCGTGCTCATCGTACTTTATTTTGAAAGAATAATAAGTTTAAGATGATTGTATTCGACGCGGGCTAGAAAAGTCGTGTTGAAATTGCAACTTTGTTAAAAAGGATAAATTTCATTTTCAGTATGCTAAGTTGATCATTTTTCGGAAAAGGACCATTAGATAAGACGTCATCAATAATGGTTTATTAAGTTGTCACTCTAATCAAAACTCGTACAATAGCCAACATATTGCACTAAACAATACAGCTAACTAAAATCGATCACTTTTACTACACTATATGTTGTTTTTTTTTACTCCAAGCATATTGGATTTGGGCTCGGCACCGATCAGTAGATAAGTAAGACAAACGCAAGGGCCTATTCAATCTGTTTTAGGCCCAATCAAAATGGATACTAAAATTGATAAATATATTATCTTCAACACAAAAATCCGACCGTGAGATCCGAGTTTCATAAATTGATCGAAAAGCCCACAAAACACACACACAAACACAGAGGAGCGTGTGTTCAAAAATTCAAATTATCGCACACACCTTTATCCCGCTCACACTTCACATTCTCATTTTTTTCACACACAGTCGCACACCAAAAGCCGTCAAAATCTGCAGAGTCTGCAAATCTACACACAAACACAGCCGAGGGAAGATGACGAGTCGGGAGAAAGAGAAGGGCGTCAATGTCCAGGTTCTCCTCCGCTGCAGGTAACTACGAATTACCCAATTTGAAAATTAGGGTTTGGTAGTTTCATTTCTGTTTTTTTTTGGGGGGGTTTTTTGATGAATCTCGGCGATTTTTCGAAGGCCGTTCAGCGAGGATGAGTTGCGGAACAACGCGCCCCAGGTGGTGACCTGCAATGATTTCCACAGGGAGGTGTCCGTTACGCAGAATATCGCCGGCAAGCATATTGATAGAGTTTTCACGTTCGACAAGGTTGGTTAATTTATTTTTTGCTGAATTTGAGCTCTGTTGTGTAGCGTAATGTGTTGAGGGTTTGGATTCAATGTTTAGATAATTGATAAGGTGAGAATGCACCGATCTGCCATTCAGCTTAGGCAATTTTGGGGTTTGAAATGTTATTAAAAAGAATTTCATTGCTTTCAGATTTAGTTGCTAATTGGGCCTGCCATGATTCTGTCACACACACACACAGACACACACACACACACAGAGACACATACTCTGTGCAGTTCTATTTTTATAGGAATTAATTTGGCGTTTTCAGGTGTTTGGACCTAGTGCCCAGCAGAGGGATCTATATGAACAGGCAGTTATTCCAATAGTTAATGAGGTTTTAGAAGGTTTCAACTGTACAATTTTTGCCTACGGGCAAACTGGAACGGGAAAAACGTACACCATGGAGGGTGAATGTAAGAGGTCCAAGGTACTACTTTTCCACTGATTGTACATGCATTTTTTTTTTTTAAAAAAACTTTTCATATCTGAAGTCATATACACCTGTAACATTTTTTCTTTCTTGTTAAAGAGCGGTCCAAATGGAGAATTGCCCCCTGAAGCTGGAGTGATACCCAGAGCAGTAAAGCAAATTTTTGATACATTAGAGAGTCAAAATGCCGAGTATAGTGTGAAGGTCACTTTCTTGGAGTTATATAATGAAGAAATAACAGATTTGCTTGCCCCTGAAGAGATATCCAAAGTTGTCCAGGAAGATAAACAAAAGAAACAATTGCCACTCATGGAAGATGGGAAAGGAGGTGTCCTTGTCAGGGGATTGGAGGAGGAAATTGTTACAAGTGCCAGTGAGATTTTCACTTTACTTGAAAGAGGTTCTGCTAAACGTCGAACAGCAGAAACTTTATTAAACAAACAATCAAGGTACTTACCATGTTTCTGCTTTGAATGCTAGGTTTAGTTTTTGTATAAATTGGAAGCTTATGGTGACATAATCTCTCTTTGGGTCTAGTCGTTCGCATTCACTATTTTCCATCACGATACATATAAAGGAAGCGACGCCTGAAGGTGAAGAATTGATAAAGTGCGGAAAATTGAATTTGGTTGATTTGGCTGGTTCGGAGAACATCTCTCGTTCTGGCGCTAGGGAGGTAAAGCTCTCAGTAATCTCGTATGGTTACTAAGTGATGAACTGTTTTCAGTCTTCTGCTTGGACATAAACCTGTGTTCATTTTGTACGACTGATGTCCAAGGTTAATTAGTTGTTTTCTAGTTCTGTTGATCCTTCTATTTCCTAAGTACATATTCAACGTTATAGGGCAGGGCAAGAGAAGCTGGTGAAATAAACAAAAGTTTGCTTACATTAGGCAGAGTAATAAATGCGTTGGTGGAGCATCTGGGACATATACCTTATAGGTTTGAATAGATTTCTCATAAGATTACTCTGTTGCCTTTATATTGATATCATGGTTGATGATGTGTTTTTTGTACCTTTGTCCCATCTCATATACAGGGATAGCAAGCTCACACGTTTGCTTCGAGATTCATTAGGTGGGAGAACAAAGACTTGCATTATTGCTACAGTATCACCAGCTGTTCACTGTCTTGAGGAGACTCTTAGCACATTAGATTACGCTCACAGGGCTAAGAACATAAGGAATAAGCCTGAGGTTTGTTGCAAATTTATTTTTCTTGGATATAAATCATTTCTTAATCCATCCTGTTTGTTTGCCCGTCCTCAATGTATATGTGGCATAGTCTTTTTAGTAGTGCCAATTTAGTCTGCATAAACTTTCATGCTTAGTGGCTTATGTTTGTTTTAATTGTGGTGACGCATACCGTGTCTCACCAATTAATAGTTGAATTATGTTTTTCCTATTTCACTCATTTTCTTTAAGTTTCTCTTTGCTATCTTTTTTGGTTAGCATAGTGAGCTGTCCATGTGTAGTTGTATGTGAAGAGTTCATGTTGACAGATATCAATATCAATCTTTTGGCTTGAGCTTGTGGATTACTGATACTTGAAATCTTCGTTTGAAGATAACTATATTTAATGTTCAGCTATAGTTCATTGGTTCTTTTGTTATTGCGAAAGATACCGCGCAGCCTGCTTAAGTCATATCCATCCGTATAACTTGTAGGTGAACCAAAAGATGATGAAATCGACTCTTATTAAGGATCTCTATGGCGAAATAGAACGACTTAAAGCTGGTACAAGTTTATATTTGCCTGTAGCATCTTTTGCTTCTTTTAAAAGTTGTGCTTTCTCCATTTCTTTACCCTCTCTCTCTGTATGTATCTGTCTCCAGAGGTTTATGCTGCCAGGGAGAAAGTTGGTGTTTACATTCCTAAAGAGAGATACTATCAAGAGGAGACTGAGAGAAAGGTAAAACACCTCTGGGACCTGTAGTTTTCTGTTTTCCTATCTAAGGACAGTTAGCCCCTTGCTCTTTTTAAGTCTTTTTTTTTGTATTTTATAAAAACCCATTAAGTTACTTTTACTTTTTTCTTCTATATGTAGCCTGCTGATTTGTTTAAAGACACCACAAGTAATAAATCGTCAGGTCTTTTATAACAAATATTTTGTCCATTTTAGGCAATGGCCGATCAGATTGAACAAATGGGAGTGACAATCGAAAATCATCAGAAGGTAAGCGTAACAGTGGCCTTATGGTGGGGGATATGATCTGTTTAGAAGTTCTAAGGTTTCATATATCATATATGGCATGCAGCAAATAGAGGAATTGCGAGCTAAGTATGATTGTAAGGTTCAGCAATGCCTTGATTTGGGCAAAAAGCTTGATGCAACCCAAGTAAGTTATTTTTATTGCTGACACTTATAAAACTCTAAACTTATCAGAGTCTTACACGGAGTTGTTTGCAGAGTGATCTGAACTTAACTAGCAAGTTGTTGGCAAACACCGAGGATGACTTGAAGAAATGCCAGTATTCTCTAAAGGAACGGGACTTTGTCATTTCTGAACAGAAAAAATCAGGTACTTGTTGAAAATTAGTAATTGGAATTACTTTTTTGTGGTGTCTAATGGTTTTCTGAATTATTTAATAGAAAATGCGCTGGCTCATCAAGCTTGTGTTTTACGGGCTGACCTGGAAAAGGCCCAAAAAGATAATGCTTCTCTATTTTTGAAAATAGGTACGCAGTTTACAGACTTTTGTTTTAGAGTATTAGTGAAATATGGGAAGGCACAACTCAATGCTTGTAATTGATTTTTGTGTTCAGCTAGAGAGGACAAATTGAATGCTGATAACAGGTCGACAGTAGACACATTTCAATCTGATCTAGCCCAAAAGCTTGCTACCCTTTGTAGCTCGCTGACGGCATCTGTATCTCAACAAACCGAACACCTACAATGTGTTGAGAATCTGTGTAATTCTTTTCTCCAAGTACATGATAAGGTCTTGACCTATTACTTAGCTAGTCACTACTTGCTCATCTTCTTCAACCTAGTTTCATCTTCCAAAACTCGTATTTCATTTTTCAACTAGCTGCAATTGTAGCTGTATTCTGAGATTTTCTAATTTATTATTATTTCTGTTATTTCTAGGTTTCTTTAGAGTTAAAGAAGAAAGTAGATTCTTCGAGGGTGTTATACCTCTCACATTTTGAGGCTGTGCAAAATTTTGTTCGCTTGCACAAAGCTGGTAGTAATGCTGCTTTGGAGGAACTGTCAGCTTTGGCGTCTTCTACTTCACTGTCTGTGGAAGAAGTATGACAACCTTTTATGCTGCTTATTTTCTCATGATTGCTTGCTTGCTAGATTCTCACTCGTTTTGTAAATATGTTAGTTTTTAGCGGCAGAGGCAGCTGAAGCGAAAGCAGTACTTGATGATCTTCAGGATACTCTAACAAGTCAACAAGCAGAAATGGCTCATTTAGCAAGAGAACTTCGACAGGTTGCATAATTTTTCTGGTTTTGTTGCTTTAAAATTAAGTTTATTTCGACTACTAAATAATCTCACAGTTTTGCCCTGAAGATATCTAATTAAAGAATTATGCAGAGATTTCATGCTAGTATAGAGCACCTGACAAACACCTCAGAATCTGTTCATGCATCGGTTGATAAGCTTCAGGAAGAATCAAAGAAGCTTCAACATCATGCAACTGAACTTGATGAAATTCAGACGAAGTGCATCGCCGAATTTCAGAAGGCTTATGAGGTTTCACAGTATTTGAATCAAATTATAACTAGCAAAGTGTGATAACACCTATTTCTCTTACTTACAGTTTGCGTTTTGTTTCTCCAGGAACAGTCACGTTCAGAAGCAGAGAAACTTATTGCTGATATGACATCTCTTGTTACTGACTGCATGCTTCGTCAAAAGGAGATGGTAAACTTTCCACCTTCTGATCCAATGGTGTATTTTATACTCCTTTTTTCCACTTGAAATCCAACTTTCTACTGACAGGTGGATAAAAGGTTAGAAGATCTTAAGGATAGTGCAACTGGGAATAAGATGTTTTTGGATGGACATGTTTCAACTATTGATGGCATTACGACAGACTTGAAAAGAAAATGGCAGGATAGCTTCATGCAGGCAGAGAGTAGTTTCAAAGACAATGCTGATTTCTCTGCAGCTAAGCATTGTCGCATGGAACTGCTTGTACAGAAATGGTGAGAGTTCACTAATTACCTGCATTTGCTCCCATCATATATCTTTAGCTATATATTTCACCGTCCCGTTTTCCTGCCTACTTTCTTTGATCATCATCAAATTCAATTTCCTTTTACTCTAAGGATGGGCTTCTAAATACTATTTTATATGTTTTTTTGTCTGTTTGTCTTCAGTGTGAAGAGTGCTGATAGAGCTTTGGAGCGGTGGCAAAAAACGCAAGAATCGTTAATCGATATGGGAAAGAAAAATGTTTCGGCTTTCGATTCACATGTCAGGTGCGTTATCTTTATCATGGATACAAATTCGAATTGTGCATGTCCATATGGATGCTTAAAGGAGATGAGTTAGATAAAAACACACTGTGCTTTCTTCTCGGAAAAAAAATTGATCTTTAATTTTACTCTTTGTTAATTAGAATCAGTTTCTATTGGTTTGGGCTGAGTTGATAATTATTATTATTATTATTTTTGATTACATGTTATATATTTATTTCTTGTATGCCTTGTTCAGGAATATGTGGTATAGTAACGAACAACACAATGCTGAGGTTGAATCTGCTAAAATTATGGTTGAGGAGGATGTTAAAACTAACAGTGAAGATATGATTCACTGGTTTAACGGTTAGTCTTTCACTTGACTTGATCTTGGCTCTTTTACAGGTTATGAAAGTTTAAACGGGAGCTGCTACCAATATACTTCTCCCTTTTTCCCTGATTTTCAATTTATCTTTGAATGTTTATTTTCTTGACTTTGCAGTTAATCTCGATGAGATATGCATTCTTGTTTAACAATAATGTCTCTTTTTCTCAGGCGTGTCAGGGCAAGAGAAATCATCTGTTTCTGAAATACTCTCGACCTCTCAAACTCATTCACAAACTCTTCAGAATCTTAGTACCGATCATTCCAATCAATTAAACAGAATTGAACAACATGCTGTTGATACTTTTAGTCAAAAATATATGGTATGACTATATCCAAATTATGGCTCGAATTTGCGGCAAAAGTAGGCGTGCTATCATCAATCTCACCTTGCACGCATTTAATTTTCTGTACACATTGTTCTAGTTGCATTTGCTATCTCTAAATTTCAAAAAATTTTATTTCCCGTTCCTATTGAAAAATATTTTCATTTTTAATTCCAATTTTCATTTTTTCCTTTCTGATTGTCAGGATTACGAGCCTACTGGCACAACACCCGTTAGATGTGAGCCTGAGATTCCCAGCAAGGGCACGATCGAGTCTCTTCGTGCAATGCCAATGGAGGTCCTTCAAGAAGAATTTCGAGAGAACAATTCGTACGAGTCCTTTCACGCGAAGGAGCCAAAGCCGAGCCTTATTCCTCGTGCCCCACTTTCACAGATCAACTAGTAGCTGCAACTTCTTTTCGGTTTTACGATGGAAGAGCATGTCTCATTCTTTGTATGTGTGTACATTTCCGCAAGGCATGCAATACCGTAAAATTTGGTACAAGAAGTTCATCGGATATGTGACTTCCAAGGATTTAGGTGCATAATTTATGTTGTAGGCTAATCAATTTTAAATAAATCCCTGCTTGGGGTTTACTTGGTGTTGTAAGCTTTGGAATTTGAAATTTGAATTGTTACATAGCCGTTATTATTATAAAAAAGAAGAGCGGGAAATACGAAAGGTAGATATTTGGTGCTTTTTAAGATGATTTTTATTGTTATATAATTGCTCAGATTTTGTGGTTTTGCGAACAGACATGAATTTGTCCTGATTTAACACCTGCTGGAAAATCATAGATTGATGGAATCTTACATGGAATTGCATTTTCAATAATAATTAGCTATGTGTACATCACAATTAATTATGGTTCTAAACCTTTATTCTCTTGCCTGCAGCTGAACACATATTTTTTAAGTAGTCTGATGCTGTTAAATTAAATGAGCTCGGCTCGTTAAAAGCTCGAGTTCGGATTGTTAAGGCTCGAGTGCGATTTGAACTCGACTCGGTTCGTTAAGGCTCGAAAAGATAATTCTTATATATTTTTTTATAATTTGACTCGCTAAAACTTGAGATCGGTTCGTTAAAGTCGAGCTCGAGGCTTTGACTAGCCGAGCTCGAGCTCGATTTATGGTTAGTTAAGGACTCCAGCTCGGCTCAGTTCGTTTACAAGCCCAAGCGCTGTTAAAAGTAATCTATGATTGATAAAAAGTGAATTTTGAGCTTATAGGCATAGTTTTTAATCCCGGTCCGAGAATCGACTTGGGCTGGTCTTCGAGTCACTGGTTCAACCGCCGGGTCAATAGTTGAAACAGATAATTAACATTAAATTTTTTACAATTATATATAGAGTTTTGTCAAATAAATATACATAAAAGTAACAAAATTAAATATTTTTTATATAAAATTTGTGCATGAAAGTTTAATAATATGTATTTTATGATAAATATTTATCATATAAATATATACATACATAGTTTTATTTTTTACCTAGTCTTCTTTTTCGTCATATTTCTTTTAAAATTATAACAAATTTACCAACTTAAATTATAAATATATTTAAAAAGAGACATTATTGTTAACTCAGAAGTCAATGTTTTTATATATTTGATCTGCATGACTTCTGAGTTACAGGCGATAGCGATTTTGGACCGAAAGGTCCAACGACTGAGGAATAGAGATGTGTCTCTAGCTGAGTTCGCTGGAGCCGCCGATGAGGCCGACGCCACTTGGGAAACCCGAGCAACCATCGCCCTTGGGGCCGCCCGTGGCATAGCCCACATCCACTCGTGCGGGCCTACCGTCTCCCACCGCGACATTAAGTCGTCCAATGTCCTCCTCACCATAAAATTTTAGAGAACTCTACAACTTTCGGCACGTCAAAGCTAGAAACACGATTGAACGTGCGAGACCTTAAGAAAGACATGGTCGAGTAATCTATTATTCGAAGAGTTTTGATTGATTATTTGGGCTTCGTTTCCATACGCGAAAAGCAAAAGAAAGCTACCCCACTCGAGAAGAAGAAAAGAGCTCAATCTCATCTCTTGAGAAGCTAGTTTCGATGTTACTGCTCTGCTCCTCATTACCAATAACCGATAAGTTGTTTTGCAAGGGAACTTCAGACAAAAATACTTTTTTTCTTTGTCTCTTTACCTTCAAAGCGGGTGTTAAAGAGTACAAATTGACTTATCCAACCTAGTAAAGGCTCATCATTTGTTTTTTCAGAAAAAGAATAGAATAAAGAAAGGGATAGTTTATATGATGTATCAATCATAGGATCATTCTATGAATAGGTATAGGTAAATTCTATGTGACCTCCCACCGTTCACGACAGTTCACAACATCCCTTGCTTCTCGCTGGTGTTTTTATGAGCTTCGATTTGACATTTATATGATACGTAAAAAATAAATAAATAATTTTATTTTCCTTATCATTGAAATTAAAATACCTATTAATATTAATTCTGAAAAATAAAATTATTCAATCTAATTTAACTACAAAGTAGTTATTTGGTATAATTTCAAGAATAAAGATAATATGAAATGATAATAAGTGGTGTAAGTTGGTGTCATTTTAAAATAATAACATATTTTTTCAAAAATTATCTAAACTTAAACAATATTTGTTGTTATTATTATTTAATTTTAAATATAACTAGTACAACATCCGTGTATACACGGGTGCTTGTTAAAAAGTTATTCTTAAATTTTTAAATTAATGAGAAAACTATATTAAATCTAGTTTATTTTTTTAGAAAAAAAAAATATATTACTATATATTCTAGAATGATAAGTGTTACTTATGACTTTCATGTGTTATATTATATTAGTTTTTATAACTTCTATCATATAACTACTTGAAATATAAATATATTAGTTGATAAATAATTTTATTTTTCTAATTAATATTAAAAATAATTTTATTATTGTTATAAAGATAAATATAAATTATTTTTTTATACATACAATATGGATGTCAAATCGAAACTCATCAAAAGAAGATTAATTTGATATATTACATATGTAAAAATGATAAAAAATACAAAAGTTATTAACTTTTAAAATATATATACAATTCAATAGTTACAATAAAGAATGGTATTAAAATGCAATTAATACATGTAACATGACCATAAATAACCCACATATTTATGGTAATTCGAACCTAATTATTTTTGGTTTGGAATTAAATTAAAATTACCTAAGCCTAATAACGAAGTATGTAATTTTGCCACATAGGATTCCGAAGCACCAGAAGCAGCCACGTAGGCTCAGCGCGTTCTGGATTAGTATATAGGGGGAGGAGGATTTTCTTGTAGTACACGGTATCTATACTTATATAATACGCCATCCCATTTACCAAAATTAATAGTTAGGAAAGTCAAAGGACAATTAATGCATGTTATTTCCATAAATAGTTTTATTTAATTATTTATTACTTATTTTATTTAATGCATTCTATTACTTACTACTTACTACTAAACCAATAAAAAAAAGTTATGATCGGTCAACAAAAAAATGTTCTTCCAAAATTAAATCACATTTCTCACCTAAATTGAAGTGTTTTGTTGTATGGATTTTTTTTTTAATGCAATTATAATTATAATGCGATATATCATGCGATATAAATCTGATCATATATGTTCCTACATATAATGATCTAATATGATTTCCTTCACATTATCTCTACATAAAATATGATAATGCAATTATAAATTATAAATCTCCAAATATTGAATCAGCATGTTCTTCACTTTCAACCACCTGCGAAAAAAAAAAATCTCCAATTAGTGTGTTATTCATAACAATGAGTCAAGAATTTAGTTTAATCAAACAAGTTAATAGGTTTAATAGACCTATGCTTAAAGTTCGAATTATAAGAATGTTTTTCAAAGACTGGGCAGCACATACAAATTTTATCTTGAGTTGGTTCTACATGATAAAACTGTAAGCTAAATTATTTTTACTTTTTTTTTCCCGAAATATCAAACATATATTTTCGTGTATATATAATATACAATTTTTATGTTTTTAAAACAAATTATTTTTTCATTGATTGTTTTTTCGTATATGTTTAAGTTAATCGCATTATGGCATGACTACGGGCAATCAACTTGGGTGCGTTTAGAGAGAAAAATTTAGAGGAGGGCATGGTCATTTGTATAAAAAATTATCAAGTGGACAACAATATAGGGAAATATCATTCGACATCCGGTGATTTTAAGATCATGCTGCACGGGAGCACTATGTTTACAAAGTGCAAGGAAGAATTTCCTGTATTTCGATTTCAATCCAAAGACTTTGCAACTCTACAATATGTCAACAAAATCGATGAATCAATGTTATTCGGTAAGATTATTTCATTTCGTTTCTAATTTTATTTGTTTATTCCAAAGTAATTAAATTATAACATATTGGTTATTTTATTGTAGATGTTACAAGTTTGGTTGTTGACATTCAAAGTGTGCAAGAGAAACAAATAAAAATTGACGATATCCAAATGGTTGCATTCATTCTTATGGATTTAAAGTAATTTTTTTTTTTACTATAGTTTTTCTGCAATATAATCAATTGTAATCATATAATTTTATAATATGCATTACATATCTAACAATTTTGAAATTTAATGCAGTGAAAATTTCGTAAATTGCACGATTTGGGTTGAATATGTATAGACAAACTTTTGGCTTTCAAGAGCCACTATGAAGAAGCTGGTCACCATGAGTACCAATCATGCAACTTGTACGTTCCAGAGAATACCTATCATTTTATATTACTTTCCAATTATTTCAATTATTTATTTAATTTAAATGTTCAACCAATGAAGTATTTTTACTAATCTCATTCTAACATGTTGTTTTGGTTTTCTAATAATTTCTACACTCTTTCTTAATCAATTATTTATTCTTAACATGAAAATGTTTAATATGTTTGTAGAAAAGATACATGTTACCACTTCATTAAATGTCTTTATTATTTGTTGTTGTTTCCCGTGTAACTAATAGAAGGTGGTTGAAGATATTAGTTTGTGAGAATAACGAGTTGACCAATAATCAAACTCATATGTGTACAAGAAGATCTTTAATAATATATGATTGTATCTTTGTCGAATCTATCTTATTGTACAATTTCTTATTGTATTATAAATCTCTTTATTTAATATTGCTTCTTACAATATAATATTCTCCAATAAATATATCTCGTGCATCGCACAAGCACGTATTATATATATCTCCTACATTTTTTTTATTCATGTATATAATAATAATCTTCACTAAATAGCATTGTGCACCCGTGCATCGTTTACTAGTTGTTAGTAAAACAACTGATATCGAGCCTTCTACTCTCCGTTAAATCCCAACAACTGGTATGTAAGCAATCACGTATAAAATGCTTATAATCAGACAACAAAAGCTTGCACTCTCAAATAATCATGGCGGCTCACGATTTCTATCAACGGTCCAATCTACAGCCCACGAACAAATCCCACAGACATTGTCAAATCAAGCTCCCACCATCGCCAAAGGACCCGCATTTTCACTATTGACCAAAAACGAGGACCCGAAGCTCGCTCTCTCCTCACTTGCCCGGTGCAAAAATCTCTCTCACTTGCGTCAGCTGCACTGCCAAGCGATCGCCAATGGTGAAATTCGAGGTCTTTTCGTGGCCACCAAACTCCTTCGCTCGTACGCATCGGAAAAAGATCTGGAAAGCGCCTCCGCAGTTTTTAATGAAATTGAACGGAAAACTTCGTTTTCGTGGTGTGCTATGATTAATGGGTATGCGAAATCTTATGACTATATAAATTGTTACGCCACTTTCAGGGAGTATATAAGATCCGGGGACCGACCCGATTGCTACACTCTGCCTGTGGTGATCAAGGTCTGTCGAAAAACGGAGGATTTGGTAATGGGTCGGGTCTTGCACTGTGTGGTTTGTAAATACGGGTTTAATTTGTATCCTGTTGTGGCTGCAGTTCTCATGGACATGTATGCAAAAGGTAAGGCTATTATGGATGCAGCTCAACTGTTTGATGAAATGCCAGCGAAGGACATGTATGCAAAAGGTAAGGCTATTAACTGGACCTTGATGATCGGGGCGTGGATTGAGTCTGGAACTCCCGAGAAGGCTCTGGATTTGTTTGAACGGATGAGAGAAGAAGGTGTCGTGCCGGATAAGATTGCTTTGGTGAATATTGTGATCGCTTGTGCTAAATTACGCGTGATGTGTAAGGCGAATCTGGTGGGTAATTATGTAAGTAAGAGTTATTTTTCATTGGATGTGATACTGGGGACTGCGTTAATCGACATGTACGCAAAATGTGGGAGTATTTCGTTAGCAAGAAAGATTTTTGATAAAATGCGTGAAAAAAACGTCGTGTCTTGGAGCACCATGATTGCTGCATATGGGTATCATGGGGAGGGCTTGAAAGCCCTTAATTTATTCCGAGTCATGTTGAACAATGGTGTACCACCTAATAGTGTTACGTTTGTTTCGCTCTTATACGCCTGCTGCCACTCGGGCCTTGTGGACGAGGGCCTTGAGCTCTTTTCGATAATGCACGAGGTGTATGGAGTGAGGCGCGACGTGAAGCATTTCACGTGCGTTGTCGATTTATTGGGTCGGGCCGGAAAACTGAATCTGGCCCTGAATATGATCGAGCAATCGAGTATCGATAAAGATGTCGGGCTCTGGGGGGCGCTTCTTGGAGCATGTAGGGTCCACGTTGATGTAGATCTTGCCGAGGTGGCCGCGGAGCATCTTTTCGAATTACAACCACAAAACACGGGTCATTATGTTTTGCTGTCTAATATATACGCGAAAGCTGGCCGGAGAGAAAAAGTGGCGGAAATTAGGGAAATGATGAACCGTCGAAAGATCAAAAGAGTGCCCGGGTGGACGTGGATTGAAGTGGATAACGAGATTCATCGATTTAGCGTTGGGGATTTTGCGCACCACCCTATGTCTAAAGAGATTTACAAGGAATTAAAGAATTTGAGCGGGAAATTGGAGGTGGAGGGATATGTGCCGGACACGAATGTCGTGTTGCATGATCTGGATGAAGAGTTGAAGTTGGAACTTTTGCTTAGTCACAGCGAGAAGTTGGCTATTGCGTTTGGTTTGATTCGAACTCCGGACGGGAGTGCGATTTTGATCACGAAGAATCTTAGGGTTTGTGGGGATTGCCACACGTTTATCAAATTCGTGTCTTTGGTCACAAGGAGGGTTGTGATTGTCCGTGATGCGAACCGGTGTCACCATTTCGAGGAAGGGGCTTGTTCTTGTGGGGATTACTGGTGATGTTTTTCAAACTGGTGTCTGTCTAGTAAGTAAAAAATTTAATTTTCCAGTCTCTAGTTGTAATTATTTTAAATTAATTATTTTCCTCCTTTGTGCAATTTGTGTACTGTCGAAGTAAACCTCTTGAGTGATGCATTAGTACATACAAACTTGAATCATGAGAAGTTTGAAACTTGAATTTGTTACTTGAAGAGAATATAGAAATACAGGCTAATAGAAAGGTAGAATGTAAAAACAAATTAGTGCATCATTTTCTCTCTCAAATCTGCAAATGCATATTTATTGATTCATATTCTGAGGTCTATTCATGCTCCAGGCTTGCAGAGTGTCGATTTTGACAGTCTCAGTGCCGTTGTTGAATGCGTATAAATGTGCATTTCCGTATACTGCTAGAGTCGGATAAACCCTTGACGAAATACAGGTCTTCCCTCGAGCTCCAAAACTCTCCACAACAGAATTATCAATCTACAAGAATATATATACTTCATCTCA